TTAATGACATATATGATATTATATACACATATATATGTGTATACACACACACACACACACACACACACACACACACATATATATATATATATATATATATCAGTGTGTACATCTTCAAACAGGCCACAATTTTCTTGACCTGTGACCTTTTTTTTTTTTAATTTTTAAATTTTTTATAGCTTCTTTATTGACTCTTTGGGAGTTTCACATAATGTGCCCCAATTGCATTTACCCAGTCCCCCCATGTCCTCCCATCATTCCTGCCAGGCCTCCCCACATAAGGAAGCAAATCAAAGTAAGTGAAAACAAAAACAAAAAACAAGCAAGCGAAACCATAACCAAAACAAAACAAAAACCACAACAGAAAACTCTCTTTGCTTCTCCTGCCTCTCCAACAGCTCTTCATTCATCCTGCTGGCAATGGAGGCTTCAGTGTGTCATATAGCACACTTCTTTGTCCCATGAATTTTACTACCAAATGTCTATTGCAATGAGTCGCTGGTCTGGTTCAAGGCCTCTGCTTTCTGGTACACCGTCATCACTGGGTCTTTACTGGAACTCCTATGGGATATCCTGTGGCTGCCGTGAGTTTTGGAGATCTTGCAGGTATTGTTTTATAGGACTAGACCCTTCACCAGCTCTAGCAGATCATAGTTGGAGGTAAATGCTAGGGTTGGTCAACCCAAGGCATGGCTGTGGACATGGATGGTAGCCAAGCTGGTCAGTTTGGGCCCCTGGGACCACCCACCTTTAGTAAGTTGGTGGAGTCAGTTCCCCTACATACAAGGCATGAGAGTCAGTTCACCCTGGCCTCAGGGTCAGTTCACTGGGGCCTGTAGTAAGGGATGGGGCCATATCTCCTCAGTGCAGGGGACAGCTCTTTTGTTGCAGTGCCCAGTGAGAGGTAAGGCCAACTTCCCCAGGGCCAGCAAAGGGTGTGGCCAGCTCAACATGGCCCTCTGATTTCATCTTGCATAATTCCTAGGAACTCCTGAGGTGACACAGGCCACAGACATCCACACAGACCTCAGCTGTAGCTGGGCCACAAACCCAGGAATGGCCCTCTGCAGCAGCTTGGGTTCAGGTGTGACCATTTTCTTAACAGGTCTCAGGTTGTTTCTTCATCACTTATTGTAAATTTAAGTATTATTTATGGCTAAAATAGGAAATAAGTTAATAATCCATACTAGTGAATATGTTATTTTCTTTAAAATGTGTTGAATGGTTTTATTAATATTATACACATGCAAATATTAATTGTGACTTACCATTCATTGAAGGGAATAGAGGAAGTCCTGAGTGTATGAACTCCTGAGAGGGTGTGGATTGTTGACATGTTCCTCAGACCCATTAGAAGTCAGCAAAGCCCGCTCCCTGCATGAAGCATAGAGGGGCAGGGGAAATGTTGATGGTGTGTGCAGATAATTCCACTGTAGCTTTCTCTCCCCAGATATTTATGGCCTGAAGACTGTGTGACCCCACAGAGACTGCCCGTGCCAAGATTAGCTAAGCCTGCCCTCATGGCTCAGCTTCTCACTGTGCATGTATCTGTCATTTCTTTGCTTATTTCATACCCTGTTAGGTTATTCTCTGGAGCTGTGTAAGAACATGGTCGTATATAACTTATTAAGCCATGGAACTTTAGGATGTTAACTATATGGGATACTGAAATCTTTATTACTTCTATTGTGTGAAGTTGATACAAACTGAAATGAGATAGCATTATTTCTTTCTGAAAGACTGGTTATACATGTTAACTGAATCTTAAGTGTGATTGTCCAAGGGGATTACTTAGTAAGTACTCCATTGTGTAAATGTACCACATTTTCTCCATCCATTCTTCTGTTGAGGGGCATCTAGGTTGCTTCCAGGTTCTTGCTATTACAAATAATGCTGCTATGAACATAGTTAAACAGATGTCCTTATTGTATGAATGTGCATCCTTTAGGTATATGCCTAAGTAGAATTACTGGATCTTGAGGTAGTCCCATTTTCCTGAGGAACCGCCATACTGATTTCCAAAGTGGCTGTATGAGTTGGCACTCCCACCAGCTGTGGAGGAGTGTGCCCCTTTCTCTACATCCTCTCCAGCATAAACTGCCTTTAGTGTTTTTGATTTTAGCCATTCTGACAGGAGTAAGATGGTATCTCAGAGTTGTTTTGATTTGCATTTCTCTGATGGCTAAGGATGTTGAGCAGTTTCTTAAGTGTCTTTCATCCATTCTAGTTTCCTCCATTGAGAATTCTCTATGTAGTTCTGTACCCCACTTTTTAATTGTATTATATGGTTTTTGGTAATTAGCTTCTTGAGTCCTTTTAATATTTTGGAAATCAGCCTTCCGTCATATGTGGGGTTGGTAAAGATCTTTTCCCATTCTTTGGGCTGCCATTTTGTATTGTTGACTATGACCTTTGCCACACAGAAGCTTCTCAGTTTCAGGAGGTCCCATTTTTAATTGTCAATCTCAGTGTCTGTGCTACTGTTGTTATGTTCAGGAAATGGTCTTCTGTACCAATTCATTCAAGGGTACCTCCTACTTTCTCTTTAAGTGGTTCAGTGAGGCTGGGTTTATGTTGAGGTCTTTGATCCACTTGGGCTTAAGTTTTTTGCATGGTGACAGATATGGATCTATCTGCAGTCATCTTCACACCAGTATCCAGTTATTCCAGCACAATTTGTTGAAGATGCTTTCTTTTTTCCATTGTAGTCACAGGGAGTCTCACCACTGCTGGATTTGGCTGCAGCCATGTTGAAATAGAAGTGAATGACTGAAAATTAAAAAGTTTCACGGATTTGCCCCCATCTAAGTAACCAATAGTCAGATGGTGGTGATGTTACACACCTAGTATCCCAGAATTTGGTAGGCAGAGGCAGGTAGATCTCTGTTTGAACCCATCCTGATCTCCAGAGTGAGTTACAAGATAGCCAGGGCTGTTACAAAGAGAATCCCTGTATCAAAAATAAATAAATAAATAAATAAATAAAAATAAAAAAAATCAAATATTTGTGATTCTTTGACATGAGGTTCATATGTAAATATCTCTTTAAGATCCTCATGAATTTGGCCATTCCATGTTTCTAAAAATAAATATCAAATTTATTTTTTAAACTGCAAATTTTTATAGGACTGTATGGCTATATCATTTTGAACTAGAATGTGATGTAAAGTTGCACATAGCGTATCAAGTATGTAAAGTGTCTGCTTGGTGGATGTTTTCTCTTCAATCATCTAATAACTGCACCCTTCCTGTTTTTATACTGTTAATCCCCAGACATGTAGTATTTGCACTAAGTCCTTAGCCTGTTCGTTACTTAATTTTATTTCATTTCTCAAGTGGCTATCAAGATTTAGTGTCTTGAGATAATTCCTTAAGTAAATCTGCATGTCATAACAACAACCACAATAAAACCCAAGTGAAAATGTATTTATTTATTTATTTATATTTAAATTTGAAACTAGCTTGTTTTGCAAATCAGCAAATGGTGTCCTTAAATTGTAGCCTTATCAATTGCTTTAGCTATCTATGTTTTCATGTTTAGGAAATGAGAGGAAGGACGCAAAAATTCTTCCTTAGATGGATTCGTTGTTGTGATTTTTTTTAATGACCTGATGTTGATGCATTGTTTTATCTTCTCATGCCAATAGTGATGCAGTAAAAACATAATGTAAAGATGCTAGCACAACTAATACTGAATTATTTAACTGGATTGTTATATGAGCTAAGCCTTTAAGACAATGCTAATGCAGGGGGTATTTTCTGCAAGACTATTATTTTGCATATCAATATTAATTTTAGTGTCTCCTTGCTATAGAAAATATAAGCACACCAAAGTACAAGAGTTTTAGGTGCAAAAAAATGCTTCTGAGGGAACATCAGCAGTGAGTTAGCTGCTTTTAGGTAGTTTTTATTAATAGGTATGAAAATGCAGAATTTAATCTGAGAAGGGAAATTGATTTTGACCTGCTTAGCTCAGAATATGGGAGAGCCTTGTCTGTCTGGGCTTGTGTCTTACAGTGTTCCCTGCAGGAGATTTCTTTACCGTGCACAGTTCTCCCTTTTGTTGAGTACACTATTGTGTTTTTGATGGACAGTTCATAGGAACTAACAGCAAATGGTGGAGAAACAAAAACGGCCCTTCTTCTTCAGTGTAGGGTCACTGATGGAAAGTACCACATTGTGACGGAACATGAGCTTTGATTTTTGTTACGTTTTCTTAAATTTTGATATGCCACATCTATATCAAAGGTTGATATAGCCTTTGCTTCATTTGATATACAATTTTTACTTTTCTCTTTTCTTATCTGGCTGGCCACTGGTGAAGTAATCTTCAATCCCAATAAAGGCCTTCTTTTCAGAAGATACTAAATTTCCTAAATATAACCTTGTGTGGGAGAAGTTAAAATGCAATAGTTTGTCAACATTTAAAAAAAAAAAAAAAAGCATATCAGAACGCAACATCGGATCAACAGACTGAAAGAGAATAGGAGAATAGTTTGTGGGGGTTTTGTTGGGGGGGTAATTGAAATCACCACGGAATTGCAGGGCCATGGTAAAAAGCAGTCACTCAAATTAGAGAACTAAAGCAAAACACCTTTCTTCACCGCCTGAAAATTAGTAGAGGAAAGTCCTGAAGAGCTAAAAGTGAGCCCCAGGTGCTGACTTCCCTGAAATAGGAAGTGATGGAAGACATTTATAAAAGAAACCCTCAGGGATTCCCTGTGATCCCTTTAATCCTTGAATTGTCAAGCCACATGGAAAATAATAGAGCTGTGTCGTTCCAAGACTTAAGTGGTATTAGCTTTTTGAAAGAAAATGTTGGCCTTTTCATATCCGTGGACAAGAATGGGATATGTATTCAAATAGAAAAGAGTAACTTTGAGCCAAGGATGCATGTCTTTTTTTTTTTTTTTCATTTTTAATATAGTGTTGTCTATGACTAAGCAGGCTGTATCATGGAGAAAAAATAGAGCTATGTTTATTCTTCTTTTTTAAAACAGATGATTCAACGAGAAGCAGATGTAAAAAGTAAGGTGACTGCTGTGGCATTGACAGACTCCGTGCACAATGTGTGGCATCAAGAAGCTGGCAAAACCATCCGAGAATGGATGAGAGAGGTGAGACCTGGTTTTGTTCAGTGCTGAGAAGAATGGAGATAAGCCTTTGTGTCTGGAGTCCCCACAAACTTACATTGCCTCCACCTGAATTCTCTAGAGAGAGGGTACTGAGACAGAATAAAAAGTCTAGATGCAGGCAAAATAATAAAAGAGTACTTCGAGAAGAACAAAACTTTTTAAAAGCATCCTTTCTGCCCACCACTGAATGGAATGGTATGTATGTATACAGTATACATTAGAATATTGGCTGAAGAAAGGCTTGATGTCATGCTTCATATTCCCTACTACTTAATTTTTATGGCTATTTAGTATTGCAGCTACTTAGTTGCCAGAAAGAAGTTTTGTGTACATTCTGTCTTGTCCTTTCCTCCTGGAAATTGATTGGTTCAATCCTGCCAATAGGGTAGAAGCAGTTAAAAGCAAACTGAAGACTATTGGAGATGCTGACCCTCCTCCACCTAGAAAAGCTGCTTATTGCATGTCCCTGGTGCATCTGAACACTAACAAGAATCTACAAAACATGACATGTGTCTTTTTCAAAATCTTCATTTGTTATTCAGTCTATTGATCTCATTACAGACATCCCACTGAAAATTCCTTTCTATTTATATTTACCTTGCTATTGTATTTACCTTGTCATAAAACGTTGACATTAGCCTCATGATAATATGTCAGTAATGATCATTTACATCAGTAATTTCTCAGCTATTGTACTTATGCCAGTTCATTCTTTTCCATTCGAAGTCCTTTATGAAAGTCAATCTAAGTGACCAATGATCACATATACACGCACACACATATATATGAATGCAAGCACACACATACATGCAGATATATACATGCACACATGCATGCACGCACCCAAACACATGCACGGATAGATATATACAGACATACACTCTGACATATGCATGCACATAGACACACATACACACTCATGCATGCATGTACATATACATATACACATGCATGCATGTAGACACATATACAGACACACTCATACACACACATATGTATGCATGCACACACCAACATATGCACATACAGACACAGAAACAGAAGCATGCATCTATACACACAGACACAGTCTCTCTCATAAACCTTTAAACAAAAAGGTTAAACTATTTGGAAAATGTCCTTCCTCCTAATAAAGACTTCTAGCTGTGTTATCGTGTTGATTAGCTTCATTATTTTGCCAAATACTGGCTTAAATTTGGAAGTAAACCGTGCTGGCAATTGCTTAATCATTCCTGTTATAGTAAAGACTGAATAAAGTCATGGTTTTGTTTATTTCGTAAGCAACAAATTAATGTAATAGTGATTTATATTAAGCATTATTACTATAAAGCTCTTAAATATTTCAAGTCTATCAATTTAGCAAACAACAGACTACAAGTTAGATTTGTATATTATGTAATTTTAAAATGCCATTTTCTCTTAAAGAAGGGTCAAAGAGGACTTCTTTAGCAATCCCTGAAACTGAAACCTTTCTCAGATGAAAGTCGAAGTGTGGATGCTAAAGCCAAGAGGAGGAGTCAAAAGTGTCTGAAATGAGCCCTTATGGACATTTCTCCTGTGAGGTTCTGTTGATGCTGAGAGTGTGGCATGACCCTCACCTGAAAGTCTGTGACCAGTCTGGAAGTACAGTCCTACATAATGATCCTGCACCCTCCTTGACACCCTTCAAATCTCAGTGTAGGCCTGTCGTAGGGTTTTTGTTGCTGTGAAGAGACAGCATGACCACAGCAACTCATAAATTAAAAAAAAAAATATTTAATTTGGGGTCTTACAGTTTCAGAGGTTTAGTCCATTGTCATCATGGCAAGGACTCATGGCAGCATGCAGGCGGACATGGTTCTGGTGAAGGAGCTGAGAGTCCTACATCAACAGGAAGTTGTCTGTCTCACTGGGAGTAGCTTGAGCATAGGAGACCCCAAAGCCCATCCCCACAGTGACACACTTACCCCAACAAAACCACACTTCTAAATAGTGCTACTGCCTTTGAGTGGCCATTTCATTTCAAAACACCACAAGGACCTGGTCAATGATACACAGTGATGTCTAAGTCATAAAAACTCCATATTAAAGATTAACCTTTAAGGCTATCATTATTTACAATGCATGCAAGTGTAAAAACAGGAGTAAAAACAGAGACTCGGCTAGTAAAGGAAGATTGTCTAATACCTTGCACAGAGTTAGCTATTATTTTACAGTCTTTTTACTAATGTTTTCATTATTGGAAAGTCTCACACAGTGTATTTTGATCATAGTCACACATGCACTCAACTCTTTCTGTATTGACTCTCTCCACCTGCACCTCTGTTATTGGTGTGGAGAGATGGCTCTGTGGTGATACACTATTTATGATTTACTAAAGCTTGCCTGAAGAACAGAAAGCAAAGCAGCCAGCTACTGGCACTTACCTCTATCTCAGCTCAGACCAAAGGAGTGATCCTTAGACTGCTCCCAATTTCACTGCTCCTCAGATTCACTCAGACTGCTATGCTCTCCTCCGTGTAGCTATGGACTAATTCTCAGACTGAATGACAGCTCTGAGACCCTTCTCCTGTCTCAAAAACTTCTCTAATGCTGGGATTAAAGGTGTGTGATCCCAGATCACTTTTGTGTGAGCTGTTTCTTTTAGGACTGAATCAATTTTGTGTAGTCAATGTGGCCTTGAACTAACAGAAATCTATCTACCTCTTTATCTGGTGTCCTGGGATTAAAGGTGTGCACCACTACCAGATCTCTATAGCTTGAGGCTGGCTTTGTTTTCTGAATCATCAGGCAAGCTTTAATAAATCATGAATAATATATCACCACATGGCTCAGCCATTAAAAGCTGCTCACAGCTAGATATACTTCCAGCTCCATCTAGAAGACCTGGTGCTTTCTTCTGGCCTCTATGGAAACCTACACACATGGCACGCGTGCGCGCACTCACACACACACACTCTCTTCTAGCTTGGTTTCTATGCTTTCCAATCCTATGCAGGTACTTGTTGGTTGCATAAGACATTTGACATTTTACTTTTCCCTGACTTTGCAGGAGAGATAAAAAATTTTCAGTATTTGCTGAGATGGAATTAAAATTTCAGGATCATAAAATGGTAGCCTGTATTTCTCTTTCAGTATGTGAGCTAAAGGTGATCTATCTTGTTTGTTTGTTTTGTTTTTTTTTTTTATGGTCAAAAAGTTCACTTGGTTCAGCTTTTAATAGTCAAAGTGAGTTAGAAAAGTGACAAATTGTCTACAGATTATAATGTCCCATCACTTTTGTTAGTACTAGAAAATTGTATAAGACACAGTTCTGCATGCGTGAGATGCAGGTGATCAGTATTAAGACTGGCATATCACCTGGGTAATAGCCTACTTTCATCAGATTTGGAGGCACTAGTAAGATGAATAATAATTAAAATATATACCTAATCGCTGCCTGTCTGTTGGTAGTGCTAATTGCTGTCATTGAAAAGACTGAATTGTTTAAGAAAAGGGGAGAGAAAGAGAAAGTCATTCTTCATTGAAGCTATCTCCCTGTATCATTGGGAACCTATTTTTAGTACCTATAGAAGTCATGATTTTTGAATTTATTAGGGGCTGCGATGAATGATAAAACAAATCATCCATTTACATATCTTGACACTGCTTTGGAGAATACTTATTTCTTACAAACGAGTGTCACATTGTATATAAAAGCTGGCTAATTGTGTGCTAATCTTCTGCATTATCTAGAATTCTCTGATGTGGTATTCTATCAATGGTAATATTAATTTTGCTTATTTCAAATGTATGAAATATCTTCTAAAACCCCATTTCTTTTATAATTTCTACTTCTCTTACATTGTGTAATTTTACATTCAGCTGCTAATTAAGATTAGGAATGCACATTATAGAACATGTGTATGTTCATACACACACACACACACACACACACATTTCAAACCATCAAGCTTTTGTCATACATAAAAAATACTAATATTTTATCTGTTTTAAATATAAAAAGAGTGAAAGTATTTAAGAACATTACTAGATGTGTTTGTTTTCGTGGGGTTTTTTTCCAACACAGTTCAATAGTTTCATTGATCCACTGTTTCTTACAAAGATCTGCCATGCTTTGTGAGCTTCTGTCTGTAATCTCATACAGCAAACCCTTCCTTTATGTTACCCCTGCTCTCTCTGGTCCCAGAACAGTAGGGTTGCCTTGACAAATCTATTCAAAAGCCATTCCTCGGCCTTTATTGGTGGGGACTGGGGCCTTTGAAATTTTCTCCTCACTGCAACACAGCTGACATCTTCTTCCAGACAGAATGAATTAAGGAAATACAATAAGACACTTGATCTACCAGTCAAGGACCCTTCCTCGGTGAGAACGGATTCCATGGTGCACAGCCAAGACAGCAAGCGTCTAAAACGCACAATACATACTGTTTACCAGAATAGCAGTCACCGATTTCTCCAACATGATTGATGGGAGGATTTTTTTTTAAATAGAATCTGTCTGTGGAAATTCTTTGTTTGTGTATCTGTGTTGTGAATATTTTTTAAAACTATATAATCACATCTTTTAAACCCGAATTTAGATATGTACGTAAGTTAATGAAAGAAATAGAGTGTTACTTCATCTATCTAAGTTGCAAATCATCATTATTCAAAGGCTGAACACTACTATTGCAGTCTTATGTCCTCAGACATGGCTATACTTCACCAGGCTGTATTTGTATGTAATTTTGATATACCCCTCATTGATGTGGGTCAAAGTAAAAATTAGAAGGGAGTATGGGCCAGACTTGAGGCTTATTTTCCATCACATCTAACTTTTCTTATAAATACATTAGATTATACTTTACAAGTTATGTGTCTTAGCATCAACATGTTGTTTGCTGACTTAGGAAAGATAAATTTTTCCACAGTCATTAATAGTTAGTGACTGTTTATGTAAGAAAAATCATTTAAAATTAATGGAATATAAATGCACTTCTAGAGATGTATTTTATAGAACAAATTTACCTCTTCAACCTAAAAATGTAGTTTTTCTTTCAGTTCTTTGTAATCAACATTGTATCTGTTACACTGCAGAACTGTTGCAACTGGGTTTCCAGCTCAGAACCATTGGACACATCTGTGGAGTCCATGCTGCCTGACTGTCCCCGAGTATCTGCAGGTATGTGTTTGATGAAAGGGGGGAGTGTGCTTCAAAGTGCAAGAGCATGCTGGTGAGATGTAGATGCTGTTTCATGAATTAAATATATTGATCTATCTCAAATTATTCATAACATATCACATATGCCTGAAACATTATCGAAACTTGTTTAAGTAGCTTAAAATATCCAGAGACTTAGGAAGATGAGTGGGTGAAACGAAACACTTCTTGGAGTGTTTCTCTTGGAGTTTAGGGAGATGAGACTGTCTAAAAAACAACAACTCACTAGCCATATAGAATCTCGGACAGATATTTGTCTCTGAGTACCAATCTCATAATATTTCAGGCAATCATACAATCTGGAGAAAATTTATTTTCATGCAAATATTTTAGGTGGACCTTGAGTGTAAGGTAGGATTTGGATGTGGGAAGGTGTGCAAGGTGGCATCAGAAACAGCACTGGAAGGAACAGAGCCAAAGTGGCCCTGAAAATATTGAGAAATAATAAAGGTTATCCTGTTCTGCCAACTGAAAGCAAGGATGGGAAACATTAACACGCCCAGGAGTATATGGATCTGGGAAGTGTTAAGATTCGTGTCTTGCTTAAAGAGTTTATATCTGAGCAAGAGGTAAAGAAAGTGCTATTACAGCTGGTGCGTGCCTTTAATCGCAGCACTCCAGAGGCATAAGCAGGTGAATCTCTGTGAGTTCAAGGCCAGCCTGATCCACAGAGGGAGTTCCAGGACAGGCTTCAAAGTTACACAGAGAACCCCTGTCTATAAAGAAATAAATAGGTAATGAGATAAGAAAGAATGTGCTATTACATTTGTATTACATTTGGCATTGCTTTCTAATTTTGGTTTTTGCAGCTTCCAGTAATTTTTAAGATAACACAGAGTGAGGAATGGATCTAGTTCAAATTAGTAAAAACAGTTGTCTGGCTGTGGCTATGAATGCTGGAAAATGAGCAGGAATTTGCAATACAAGCTATTCCATGTCTCAGCCATAGGTGACAGCTCGTCACCAAGTAAATGTGTTTATTATGTGAAGGTAACCATTTGGTGACTAATTCAAGTTCTAGGTGATATAATGTTGTTTATAGCTAAATATCATCATTAAAGCTTCACTGACCTTCACTGTTACTATAGCTTAGATTTTAGGTTTCTCAGTCAAGATTTAATCAGAGAAATAAAACTATTGTGAAATACCTATGCTGTCATACATTTGTATATGCATTTTATACAACCTGTTTTGGTTGCTCATGGTAGCTTTATGTTGAGAAATCACGGAATTAGCAAATACTGACTCAGTACTCCTAGGGAAATGCAGAGTGAGTTCCTTGTGAGCCTCTGATCATTTTTTTGATCAGCCAATCAATGCAAAGTCCTTGTTTTATATGTGTTTTTATTTAAACACACATCATATCACATGTATTGTTGACTCTTTCATTCATATTCATGCCCAACAGCACTGTAATTCATGCCTGCACGGCTTACACATACATTTCTCCATAATGTGTATCATAATTTTCTCAAACTAAGGAATATTAATTAGACAGTACCACAGCATCGTGTTAGTGGGATCATCTGAAATAGTGAAGTCAAAACACAAAAATGTGAAAAATATGGCACTAAGTAGTCCCTGAAAAGCTCACTTGTTTACAGTATTAAACTGTATTAAACAGTATTAAACAGTATTAAAACTGAAGCAAGAAGGCAGAGAAGGGTCTTGTTGAAACATGAATGATGGTTTTATAACTCTGTTTATGTATGTAAATGACTACAAAAGTGTCACAAATGTTGATTTGGGAGTTACAAGTAAGTTATAGTGGGCAGTTGGATATGGAAGTCTGCAATACAGAGAGTATGAAGACCATTATTTTATCACTATAGAAGACAGGATTTTTTTTTTTCTTTTACTGGTATTTGACTAGAGCTAGTTAAAACAGGCTTTATAAAGACAATAATTTGCACTGGTTCCGGGACTTTAATGCCCAGAACATTTAGTTATGGAAGTTAGATGTAAAGTAAAAAAGAACAAGAGTGGGCTAGGACTTATAAGCAAGAGATGGACCTATCACACTTCGTATTGCCTCTGCTGACGTGTTGTACCCACATCCTATAGAAGTCTATGTCCTTTATCATGGACTTAAGTAATCACATGCTTGCTCCAGTTGTCAGAGATGAGGAAGGAAAGCCCAAGGGAAGGAAGAACAAAAGCTATCCTAGCTACTGCTTTACACCACAGGATGATCCAAAAGGCAAGTGTCCAGATATATTTGCAAGGAATAGCTGTTACTCTGCCACTCACAAATCTGTCTCACCCCCAACCCCAAGCATGCACAAACACGCACGCATGCACACACACACACACACACACACACACACCCTTCTGTACCTTCATAATAATAACCATAGTCAAATTTATAGTTTTACACTCATATGCACCTCCTTAATGCATGATCTTGTCAGGCATGATGGCTTACACCTGCAACTGTAATACTTGACTTAGGTAGGAGCATTACTACAAGTTCAAGACCAGACTTGGTTAGTCCTCAAGTAGGAGCAGTGAATTCCAGCCAGCCTGGGAACCACCTACAGACATACATATCAATAAATAGCAAAATAAGAAATACTACTAGTTTCTTCATTTTTGAAACTGTTCATGTAGTTATAGCTGGTATTTATAGCTGCCTTCTACTATGAATTCAGTACTCCTTTGGATTTCAGCTGGTTAAGATTTTTCACGTAGTGAAATGACCCACCCCTTTGTTCCTGGATGTCCTGCTCAAGTTAGAGTCTTATAATCTATTGAGCATAGCTACGGGAAGTACCAACAGGCGGTCTAGAGGTTATCTTACTTTTCTATTTCTGTGATAACTCCATGACCAAGACCATTTTAAAAGAAAATTGTTTACCTGGGGCATACAGTTTCAAAGGGTTAGAGCCCATGATGATGGACCAAAGGCATGGTAGCAGGAACATCTGAGATCTTACATCTTGATACTCAAGTAGGAGAGAGAGAGAGAGAGAGAGAGAGAGAGAGAGAGAGAGAGAGAGCTTACCCCCCAGTGCCACACCTCCTAATCCTTCCCAAAAAGTTCCACCAGCTTGGAATCAAGTATTCAGATATATGAGCCTGTGGGGGCCATTCTCTTTCAAACATCACACAGGTGATGTTTTTCTTACCCACCGTGTGGGAGCAGCTCAGTTTTCACTTGGAAATAAGGGCATGTCATCCAGATAAGAGAGTAGTAGCATTCATTCCCCATTGCTTCTAGAGCATCAGAAAATCAAAGTAGAAAGATGATGGTTTCAATTTTCATTTCCGTGGCATCCTTGTTGTGGTATCAATGAAATATTCCTTCTTGTAGAACCAAGACTTCAGAGCAGAAATCCTGGAGTCATAGCAGTGGGAAGCCGCTGTTTTATTAGTAGATCATTAGGGCTATCAGTTAGAGAGGTGAGTCCCACTTCTATTCCTTCATTCCCAGATCAAAAGTAAATGGCCCTGTCTGTTAAGCACTGCCTTAGAGGACACACTGTTTCAGCTCCACCAGGTGCTGTCACCTAGCAGGTATCATAACTGAATTTTCAAAAGATCGTTCACTATTCTATCAAGCCTGCTGCTGAGGTACAATGGGGACATGGTAAGGCCTTGGAGTGCTAGCAGACCTCAGACTCCCCCTTGTTTATTGCTGCTCAGTCTGATGAAAACCAGCTGCTGTGCTGTTCTGTGGAGCAACTGGCATGGGAAGGAACTGGTGCCTCTGGAAAGAGGCCAGTAAGGACTTGAGGTCTGCCAACAACCACATGAATGACCTCGAAAGAGGATTCTCCCCAAGTTGAACCGTGAGTCAAATGCAGCCCAAGGTTGATTGTTGCTTTGTGAGAGACCCCCTGCAAATTCATTCAACTAAGCTGTGTTCAGATTTCTGATCCACAGAAACTGAAGTTATGAATGAGTATTGTTTAGGGTGTGGTTCACTCCACAGGAAGAGGTAGTTAATACTGCAGATTTCAACTTCAGCTCTGGTGGGTCATGGTACCCTATGCAGCAACACCATGATGGGTTAGAGTAAAGCCTTATGAGGCTCACCTTCTGATACTGTGGGCCTGCAGGGCAATTCCTTCTAGAAACACATTGAAAAATTCACTGAATATTGTCTGTTTTGATCTCTGTTTCCCTCCTTGTCCATACTCCCCTGTTAGGCTTTGCTGACCGTCAAAAACATGTTCTGGTTTGGTACCCCCCCACACACACACACACACTTAAGTTTGCATCGTCATCTAAATGATTCAGCCATTCTCTGACAAGTTTTTTATTTCCCTTAGAGCAGAACTTACAACTCTGTGGAATCCTCTTATGGGTTGGAGTTAACAAACAGGAGATATCATACCAATTGCAGCAACACGACAGTCACACACTCAAGACTAGGCTGGAATACATAGCTTGTGGATAGCCCAAACAGCCTGGGCGTTATAGCAATAGTCTTCCTCACAACAATAAAAAGATTATTAATATAGTAATTATATATATATATATATATATATATATTCAGTAGTATACATTCATCTGCTCCTCGAATATTAAATACTTAGCTCTGGGTACTGTTCTGGAGCTGAAAACAGAGCAGTTAACAAAGCTTCCCTTTGCTGTCTTTTCCCTTGGAGTTAAAACAAGGAAAAAGCTCCTGGCCCTTCTACTATCAGATGCTTTCTTCTTTGGAGCTGCCATCAGCACCATGTGGCTTCAAATGCTTGGTGTTGCAGCTGGCATCTCTAATTCTACCTCTCATTCTACCTCCTAACAAAAGAAAATTGTTTTCGTCCAAGTTTCCCTCAATATTAACTTAGCAAAAGGTACTCAGGAAATGCACACAAGGAAAATAAAGAGGTAGTGAGACAGGTAGTAAGGACAGGAGGGGGTATGATCAAAAGAGGCTTAAACATGTTTATTGTATACATATGTCAAGACATCTTAGCATACTTCATAAGTATGTGAAATAAGAAAGAACACAT